CGTTCAAAACCGTTCAACAGTTGTAAGATTACGAAATAGCGCTCTACATGGCTCACCGCGGGAAGTGGCATAAGTGCAAAGCTCTCCCCCCCCCCCCGTCGCGGAACTGCCCCGAAACCTTATGGCACTGCTCATTCCCTCTCGATATCATATTTTCCTTCCAATATGAATAGTAATAGTTTTGTTACTGATTCAGAAATTTCAATGCTTCTGGTTTACAGTGATTTTTTCGCACTACTCAGCAGTAAGCGCCGTGTAGCAATTAAAAACGGGTGAGTAGCATCTCAATAAGAAGTGGTACCATTTCGGGATTTCGCATGGGTTTACAGGACCTCAAAATCTATCGGTATTATAACAGGTCTATGCAAGTAACTTTTGTGGGCAAAAGGATATAGGGATTGGATAGGAAGTTGGCACTTTCATCCTGCCGGGTAGGTCTGCCAGTTTACCGATCCGGAGCCCTTTTCCTGTACCACTTACGCCTTAACACGGTAATATAAGTGTAAGTCAAAAGAAGGCGCACAGTGCATGGCTAGAAAGCTGAGGTGGTGGGCAGAATCCCATACATGAGCCATAACTGTTTCGTGGACTTTTCGCCATTGAGCCACTTTCACAAAAGTCATGGAAGGATGCGCGCATCTTTCTGAATTATACCTCTTCCAAAGTTTTGCTTCACAAGCCTCTCGCGAGGATCCCACACTACAGAATGTGAAGATCGCAAATGACCACATTCATCGCAACCTTTACAAATCTGTCATTTTTCATTATTGTTTCTTATGAAATTCATCGATCTTGATGTTCCTCTCCTCCTTTACTTATGAGCACAGAGCGAGGACTATGCTTTGCTCGGGTTCCGTCTGAGGTCACATGCGAGGCGGAAGCTGTTTATTTCTCTGCTTTCGAACTCCTTCAACACTTCTCATTTGAAATCGGACAATTTACAGCATGTCACGATTTCAATGAAGTTTGCTCTCTGCTATTCTACTACTCCGTTGAAAAAATTGTTGAGCCAACACTATCCACCACGTTTTCTGCCACTGTTACCTTTTTTGGTGCATAAGACACCGTGCAAATGGCCAACTGTTTTCTTTTGACGCGCCATGAATACTCCACACGGAAAGGGGGTGTGTACATGCTTCGTTTGCCCCCTACTCGTTACTCGATTTGTGAGCAACTTTTCTTTCCAGAAGTTTCCCGAAACTCCGCTCACATTTTTCTCATGAAAAAGCAGAACCCAAGAGAGCAGGGTAGTCATTATTCCAGCTATTCAGCCGCACTTTGAACAACTTTGAACAATAACACCTACAGTTTTCAATTTTCACCCATTTCCACGGTTTATCGGCTATTAGGGTTTCCGAACTCAGAATCAGTTCCTTCAACACTTAAGAACAACGGTAAGAGATAAAAACCAGAAGTAATAATAAACATTGTCCTTTCCGTTTCGTTTAACTTTCAGGCGGGATTACTTTATGAGGAGTTAAAATGAAAAGAGTAGCGAGAAAACGGGGCCTGAGCGACATCGAAGCTAAGCTTCCACATCGCAAACCAATGGAAATCCTACTACAGGTGATTTCGGTGGGGTGCATTCTTTAGCATTGACGACAGTGTATCTTTTCCGATCTGACAGAACAACCACAACTGTGAAGGTAAATTGAAGGTGTAGGTAGTCGCGGCGCTCGTACACTTTTCAGGTAATATAGGTTGGAAGGAAAGTCTTGTCACTGTTGTGACTTTTTTCTTTTTTATTTTCTAACTCAACATACAGTGGGAATTAGTCAACAATATACTCGTCATAGTTAGCCACTACAGTGCTCCACCTAATGGTAAGCATTCCCCTCCTTCCAGAACTGAGAAGGCTGCGAGTAGAGTAAATCAGCGCCCTCTCGACTGATGTCATCAAAGTTGCTTGAAATTTTCTTAGCTAAGAAAGCCTTAAGGAGGCGGAGCAGGTAGCAGTCGTAGGGGACTACGTCAGGAGAATATATGAGCGGGGACTGGTCTCCCAGCCTTGCTCCTCAATTATTTGGTAGGTCTTCATAGCAGGTATGGGGTCTCGTGTACTACGAACGAGGTGACCCGAAGCTAGTTTCGGTCATGTTTTACCAACAGTTTCCACCGGTTTGAGGAGCTGAGCGACACAAATGGTAGCGATGACCGTCTGTTCTTAGAGGGCAGCTCGTTCTGCAGTATCACACCCGCGTCCCAGGAACAGCACAGGAGAACCTTCTCGGAATACATGCCCGGTTTGGACTGCTAGAATGGATCTTCTCCTTGAGAGAGACAAACGGTACTGTGTGGGTTGAAATCATAGAGGACCCATCTCTCATCCCCACTAAGCAGTCTCCTGGAAACTCCTTCTGACGAGGGCAGAGAAGGGGAGTCTGACCAAGGGGTACCCGGGTGCACAGCGTGCCATCGGTCAAGGTATGAGTGATCCATCGAGCCAGTACTTGGTAGTCAAAGGCTTACAGGCGGTGGACGACTGTCAGTTAGGTACATCCGAGTCTTGTCGCAAGGTGGTAGCCTCTGGACCCTCCTTGACAGCTTCGAGAACGGTGAAACCTTTCACTTCGTTGAGGCGTCCCGACCGAGGTTTGTCTTCAAGGATCGAGTCTCTTTTCGCGAAGCGAGCGAACTAAAAGTGAACAGTCCTGACGGTAGTAGTGTCCTCCCCCAATGCACTGTTGATGTTACGGACAGCTGCCGTGGCTCCAGTGCCGCGGGGCCACTGATAGAAGATGATGACCCGAAGAAGATACTCCTGTGAAACTGACATCGTAATTAAACCCAGGAAAGCGCAGGCGCCCTCACCACCTCTTGCAGGGAAGCTCTTAGAATGTTCTAGAAGCATGTTACGTCATGTACGAGCATCGAGAATTAAAAACTGGAAGCTTTTCAAAAAACACTGACAGGACTTTCCTTCCAACTTATATTACCTTATGCCACGGGTAAGAATAGAAGCAACCAATGCTGTACTCGTTCTAAAGACATTTCTCTTTCTCATAGCATTTGTTGTACATCCTTATATTGGCGCATTCGCTGCTACACTTCTTAAAACGAACAATCGGTTACCGGTTTTCACCTCGCTATTTAAGAGCCAAAATGTGGATTTAAGCACCTCTAGCAACGCTTCATCGCAGTTTTGGTCACTGCACTCAAATTTTTACCTTTGTGAGTACACTTTTGGGAACGAGCTAGAAAAAATTCACATCCTCCTCTCTGACCAATATTCATGGGAAGGCTACCTTCAGTTCCTGTTATATAAGCTGAAATGCTGATGGGAAATTTGTGTGATCAATGTAAATTTCACATCCACCAGACTGGATAGCGTAAAAAGGGTCACACCCATTGACACGTGCTGTTGATGAACGGTCGGTGTTACTTTGACTGCTGAGCATCCTGTGCTGCGACAACTGGCAAAGCGCCAGTAAGTGGTAACAGTGTTTAGCGCTTTGGATCCGTCGTTTCTCTGTGAATGTCCACCCTTTCTTTGAATGATGTTCTGTTTTAGACTCCCACCAGACGTTCGTCCTCACATGGCTGAAAGCAACCGTCTCAAACGGGATATTACGGCAACCACGACGGAACCAGAAGATCAAGAAAGTAGACGGCATCTGCCAGTTGCAACGAAGAAAACAGGTACCTCTTACCGAGCCGTTACTAGAAGACGTAAGACAGTAAGGAATCAAGTGGATTTTGATATCATTTTTTGCCCTCTGAAGAATTCTTTTTTACCACCGGGACAATCGAAGGTGAATTGGCCTTGGACAAACGGAGGTCGAAGGGGCGGCGGTGGACCACCACGGGAAGCATGAGTTAAAATTTAGTTTCCTTCCAGCGGCTAGAAAGTAAGACCTTTGAAACATTCTCCAATCCTATAATGGGAAGATGATTGCCTATGGTAAGGGATAGCTCACCTCAGGGACGTGAGCCACGTGCTCAGCTCAATTCCAGATTCAACGATTCAAAATAACGGACACCCTCAAATGCAATTCTGAGCACGATAAAACCTTGCCTAGGTCTCGTGTTCACCGTTTTCCCATCCTCAAGGAGGTTCTGTTTCGCTATCCCTAACGAAACTCGGTCGCGGCGCTGCACGAACTTCAGCCATGTCTTCAAGTAAAGATCTACTTTAACCTCAACTGGTGGCGACCCACTAGTGTTCGTGACGACGATTCAACGACTGGATGGAAATAAGAGACTAAATTTGCGTAACGATAGCCGTAACTGATAGCAGGCAATAGCCGGCTATGTCTGTTTGACGAGTAATGGCACGATAAATTCTCAAGACGTGTAGGATTAGTACGCCTAGCTGGATAGAATTCGGCGCATATTAGCAGGCGCTGCGAGGCGCCTTTAGCAAAGTACCCTCATAGCGTCCCATCAAGCCGCCCACATACCGACCCGGACGCCCACCGTGCCCGCCCGCCCACAAATGTCCGACCGATGCTGATGCTCGTATCGCTTCATTTGCGAAGTACAATATGAAGCGAAGGGATTGGTATGAAGGGGCTGCGGCGCTACATGGTCACATGAATACATACATGCAGCTGTATCTACCGTAATAACGAGTATTGGCACGATGCTAACGGGGAGCTTCTCCGAAATTACTTATAAAGACGTGGAGAACAAAGGTTTTTCGCACGTTTTTACCGTTTCACCTGGCTTTTTTCACCGTTTCTCCACTTTATAGCATCCCTGCATTTTAGACGGAGTACCAAACTATCGTGTCTTATGTCATTAGGCGTAGGAATAGATCGAGACAAGATCACATTACCACATTAAAGCGGTCGGAATAGTGGAAGTATTAGGTTGTCCCAAATTCGTGAAACTTTCGAACATTTTTTTCGAGTCAGTTTACCCCAGTGAGAAGCAATTTTAATCATTAATATATATGTTACCTTCATTGGCAACTTGTTGCCAACCACCACGCGTGGTTGCCTTGCTTCCAGAAGCTTCTTGGTTCTGTGCCCAGAAAGGCAGCTGGGTCATTTTGAGGTACTATCAAAAATCGTATTTTTTACCGAAGATGGCCGCTGTGGGATTAGTTTAGATGGCGGAAAGAGCTAAGTCAGGGCTACACGAAGACTGTGGTGGAATTCCCCAGCTAAGCTTCGGGATCTCGAGCAGTGTCGTTTTCCAAATGTGTGACCCTGAGCTGTGGTGGAGTAGGCAAACATTGCTCGGTTTTGGGACCAAATGGTAGAGATTTTCAACCCCCTTTGCAGTTGATTACAATAGGGTTCCCTGGTTACCACAGCGTTGGAAGGAAGAAATTCCGTTTTGGGAAAGGGAGAAAGAAACCCCACCACATACACAGTCTCACCGCCCTACTGGATTGATAGGATTGCGCGATCGGTTCTGCCCTTTCTGGGGATCTAGCCGCTGGCGCTTCCAGGAGTGATTCACCTAGAGACACCTACTCCATATCCAGTTACAGCGCTGTTCAACCAGTCCGTACGGCGGAAGCGGGAGAGAAGTTGTAGACAGTACCCACATGTGCTCCCCTTGGAGTACTGGTCAACTCATGAGAAAAATTTTGACCGAACTTCAGAACTTTTCTAAGGGAGCGAGGCCCTCTCTCATTTGTGCTTTGGGACCAGTCAAGTGTAAGGACTAGATAGCAAGTTGATTTGTACGAATTGGTTTTAATCAAGGAACACAGTAGGTCCAAATCCAAGGCAGGTGGCCTCCTTGGACGAAGTTTTTCACCCGGATAGAAGTCACTAAAGCGGAAGCAATTGAGCCATTCCAAAGCCGTACTGTGGAAGGTACATCAGGACCTAACTCAGAGAAATGCCGCTTATGGCTCCAACCACGTTGTGGCTTGGTAGAGATTCATATAGCGAAGTGTGTCGAAAATGATGAATTTCAATTACCGTTTTTCATATGAGAACAGCGACTGCGAGGGACGGTGAAGAAGCTGTGGGATGCTTACACACTTCCCATAGACCACATAACTGGATCTCGAAATGGCTACGGAAAGATCTGATACGAAATTCAAAAAATGTTCACGAACTTTTGGGACAACCTAATAGAATTATCGGTAGTACTGTCATACTCGGCTTATGCTGCGAGATTTGAATGACAAAAGCTCAAAAATTTCAGAATCTGGACCGTCATCTCTATCAACATCAAAACAGAAGGAAGATCAAGTTCTTAAACAAGGTACGCCATCATCACTGCTTTCGTACCTTTAGTTCGGCTAAACAGTTCATCTTATTCAGAACAGCGCAAGGTGCATTCGAACGTCACACCGATTTCAACGGATGGACCTTCACTCAAAAAACAATTCTGTCAAAAAGAAGAGAAGCTGGAAGACCTGGGTCATCGAGCTGTTGCCCGAATCCAAGACACCTCACTGACAAGTTCTTCTGAAAGCGATATCGAAGATCGGAGAAATGAACCCAATGCCTCTCATGGAATCCAGCCCCTCCTTAGCCTTCAAATCAAGAAAAGGCCAAGAGCCGTTTCTGCTCTCCCACAAACTACACCAAGGAACTTCACTCACCACTTGATCAGCGAACATCCTTGGGCGAAATATGTTACTGTTCGCGACCGCCCACTTCATCTGTCTGAGGACTGCGTCACAAGCTCTCTCCCACTCGAAGTCTACCGCCACATTCCCGAGACGGGTTACTTATCCAACGAATTCGTGAGATCGCTTTTCCCTCGTCATCATAGGAAGCCCAGTCGTGCTCACCCGCTTTACCGATCTTCGAGCTCATGCGTCTGCAGGATGCTATCGACTTTCGCAAGGATTCGCTCAATATAATTCATCAGCTTCAAGATGGCAGATATGAACCCTTCGAAAATAAGGGTCTGAAGACGACACCTCAAGGTTCCATGGCTACATGCGTGCTCCCAGTACCTAGGTACAATAGGCCAGTGCTCTACCAAGTTGTATCTCGAGAATGTACTGATGGAGTGATTCTTGAAGCAAAAGACTTCTTTATAGTTGGTCCTGATCGAGGAGAACTGCAGTGTATCGTGCTCGATCAATCCTCTACGAATATAAAGTCAAACACACGAGGTTTTGACCGCCAGCTTGTGTCTGTAAAGGATTTCGTCTGGGTGTATTCTGTGGAACCTACGGCAGAGGCCCTCCAAAACCCGTCTTCCGTTCTTGTCAGAGCACGTTCCCCCAGGACTACCGCTCTGGACACGCACGTGCCCTACTTCTTCAGGGTGCGCGAGTTTGTCTTCATTACTCCTCCAGGAGCATCACGTCAAGTGTATGGCATTGTCTTGAAAGACGCAAATGAAAACCTCGCTTTCGAAGTCGCTTTTGAAAGCGTTCCCGATGCTGTTACTGTCTCACCCAGTGTTTATCAAGGCACACTGCGAAAATTTAAGAAGGACGAGGTTGTTCGTGCTGAAACTCGTACCAACGTCTCCACAGCAATCCGCTTCTCTGAGTCCCCAGCGTCAGTAGCCGATCAGTTGATTCTGTGCAACTTGATCCGCGGATTTATTCCTTCTCATCCACAAGAGGGACTGTTGCCTTTGAAAATTTCCGACATAAAACATGAAGATAGGGAATGGATCCTTGATCGAACTGGCAGATTCACAAACTACTCCAAAAATCCCCGTCTGGCTCATGTCAAGTTGGGACCTCTCTTCAATGTAGGCTGCTCTGCTTTGCTTGCTATCGAAGGCATGAACGACGACAAATGTACACGGAGAGTGACGGCTGCCGTTCCCAGCATGACTGCTTTCCCTATTCGCTTCCAGTTCGACTTGAAAGTGCTCACTGTGTATGGATGGAATGCAAATCGCTCTGTTCTTTTATGGATTGTTGGTGCATCTGCCGTTGTACGCGTCTCAATTGAAAGCTCCAAATTTGACTCCACAGAAGGGATCCTTTCTATTAGATTAGTTGCACCTGTTCGGTCTCACAACACTCTGATGAAAATGATCAAAAAATTCAGCCGGAACGCGAAAGGCAAAGTATACGTTGATGCCTGTGTCAAGTTAACTCATCCCTTTATCAGTCGAAATATGCCTGTCTACCAGATCGTCTCGAGGAACAAGCTCTTCAGCAACATTGCTAGAAACAGTGGTTGTCGAGCAGAGCAGGTGCTGGATGCCGTTTACAACCATTTTTCCCGGTATAAACATGACCGCATAGTTCAGCCACATGATGGGAAAGGAGAAAAACGACTTTCTTTCAATGGCAAGCACCTCAAGCTTGATCGGGATCAAGTCTCTGCAATCCGGCTAGGATGTGAAGATCATCCTATTGTGGCCATTTGGGGCGGGTCTGGCACAGGGAAAACTTTAGTCGGTGCTCTCATAGCTGCGCGGACTGCACGCCAGCAAAAAGGTTTTGTCATCGTTGTGGCAACAACAAATGGTGCAGTGGCAAAAATTACTAATACTATTCTGAAACTGGAAAAATACCGCCATTTACCTGTACTGCGCTACGTAGCTGATACGTCGCTCGTAGAAGGAAATCCTAGTACAGCTGTCGATATAAATGAGGTTCTCAAGAGTCTCCCTGATAAACATGCTCCATATTTATCACCGGAGGAGATGAGCACCTGTATGAGGTTCAAGAAGGGACGAGAACTGCTTGAGAGGTACTTGTTTGCACCCGAGGAGGCATTGTTTCTTTCGGAATCTGAGCAGAAGGAATATCGCCTGGCCGAAAAAGATATCTCCACTCTCACTTCCAAAGTGGTTAACTTGATGTTCACTGTGAGGATACCAGCTATCATATGCATGACAACATCAGCCCTACTGAACACCACGGAAAAGGGAGCTATCTTCCGCGATCTTCTGACAGACTGCCACACAATCATCGGCGACAATGCCTCCCACATTCCTGAGCCTGAATTCGTGGCTATCGCAAATCGCTTCTATCGTGCCCGTCACGTCTACATTGGCGATCCTCATCAGCTTCGACCTCACATCCGTTGTTCTCGCCTTTCTCTTCCTGCACTGCTCGGAGCACGAGATGTGATTCAACTTTTACTCGATAAAGGCGTTCCTTTCGCCTCTATGACCACCACTTACAGAGCCCATCCAGAACTGAACGACCTTCTGAACAGCGTTTTCTACCGCTATGGCCTCTCTGATGGTGTTACCATGCATGAGCGCAGCTTGCTTCTCAAACATGTTTGCTGCAAGAATCCATATGTACCGTTCGTTTTCGTGGACGTTCCTGTTAGATCAGAGCTTTCACCGAGTGGATCCCACTATAATCATGACGAAGCTAAAACCTGCCGTAAAATTGTCACCTCTCTATTAGCCAAGGGAATTCAGTCCGACTGCTTGACGATCATCACTTATTATAGGCAACAGCTTTACGACCTCAAGGAATTTGCCAAGGAAAACTCCGTCGAACTGCTCACAGTTGGCTCCTTCCAAAGTCGTGAGAATGATATTGTCATTCTGCTCACTACAAGAAGCAACGACGGCAAAGTCATTGACGACGAATATATCGATGATCCCCACCGTTTGAACGTCGCACTTACCCGATGCCGCCATGGACTATTTGTTCTTGGCAACAGAGAGTTCCTTGAGGTTTCCCACAACTGGTCTGCGGTTATCAAATGGGCCGAGAAAAATAAAACTATCATCAGCAGGGACGATCTACCATGTATTTTCGCATAACACTCCTTTCTTCAATATTTAATCACTCGTGAGTTTTCGTTCCAATTTTTTTCAGTTTTTGACGTATTCGACTATTACTTCGCAGTTTTTTCAAAACAGGCCAGATTGTGAACGAATTTTCTCTGAGGGGAAAAATTTGGTCCCAGAGATAGTACCCTCGTCATCCGGGCAGTTGATTAGGGCGGTCGTCAACGGGCCGCAGCGCGTGCCAGGAACTATTTGCTTTTTCCAGGCTAATTTAGTCATTTTTTCCAACTTTTCACTGTTTTGGCTACTTTTTCCAGATTAGCAGCTCCTTATCTTCACAAGGTGGAAAAAATGACTAAATTAGCCTGGAAAAGCAAATAGTTCCTGGCACGCGCTGCGGCCCGTTGACGACCGCCCTAATCAACTGCCCGGATGACGAGGGTATAACCTCCTGAACACGAGTGTAATTTCCGCTCGGCCCGAAAGTTTCTGGCGCCCGCGCAGTAGGCGCACCAAATCACACCAAATACTCCGGGTCACCAAATCAGCTGAAAACTTGTACGCGGGAGTTATTCGACATCTTGATTACAAATATGACATTCAATTTCGGCGCTGACGCTGATGGAGGATACCACAACCATCTGCGCTCTGCTAAGGCTGAGCCCGCGTAAAGGGAATCACTACTACTCTCAAGCTCAGTCTTAGAGCGCTAAATGGCGCTGGTGTCGAAAAACAAAAGCCATAGTAGTGATCAGGCATCAAAGAACCCTATTATGTAGGTTTTTATCGATCATGTTGAAAAAAGGTGTGGTGCCGAATCGGCGCCCATTGGCGCCAGGGCTAAAAATAAATGTCATGTTCGTGAACAGGAGACCGAGTAAGTCCTAGTATGCAAGTTTGAACCGATTTTTGAGAGAAAAGTGGTGCAGGAAAATTGGCGCCTAGTGGCGCCAAATAGTGCCAGCGCAAAAAAAAAACAGTTTGGACCATTTCGAAAACGAATGTCATGCTCGTGATCCGGACATCAAATTACCCTCAAGGGCGAAGTTTCACCAAAAGGAAATTTTTTTTTGAATATTTGGGGTAGTAATAGTTGAATAGAGGTCAATTTTTTGACGAGATGGTACAAACTGGGAAACTTTGCTTTTCAGAAAACGTTTCATCTATACCGAATCCTCCTACCAACTATCGAAAATCTCAATCGTCAATCGTTCCTGCAACATTGATTAGTTATAGGTTTGTCATTTACAAGTTCCTTCTACCATGAACGAAGCTTGTTAGCGACAATAATTTCAATGTATTTAGAAAATACTTATGTACTCTAATGGGTTAGAAGACGCAGCCTTCAAATTGGTCGATTGATAGCCACACTACAGGATTTCCTTCTTCTAATAATGAATGTCAAGTGAGTAATAGCTCACATTTATAGCAGACAGATTAGAAAAAAGCAGGTTGGGTGAGAACTGCGGCACTTCGTTTGGAGCTTCACATTTAATTGTAGATTATTCTACTACGAGATTGCTAAAGACAACTTGCACATTCACCTCAGTGGATCCTGGTCCTTGCCGTGCAAGGAGAAAATGGGTCCATAAATGCAGCAACATCCCACATTTTCCGCTCAAAATTGCACGGGAACAGCCAGGGCACATCATTGGTTGGGGATTTTAGTCGAATCTGTACGATCCCTCCCCCCTCCGGCCCTCTGTTCCTTAGGCAGCGTTCATAGTTCGCGACAGCAGCGGCGATCGTCGGTGCATGGCAGCGCGCGCCCCAACGCTATTGTGAATGCTCGCCTGATGAATAAGGGAATTCAACTTGTAAGACCTTCTTTACTCTTAATAAGGGCTACTAACAGATAAGCTACGACTTTCTACACATAAGCAGATCTGGAATATGAGGTAAGAAGGTTTCACTTCCTTTTAGGTCGGGGTAAGACCAACTCCATTTCCTGGGTGAGCTTCTTTTTTGTTTTTATTGTTTCAATTTATGCATGCGCCTCAGGAATTCCTATCGTCTAAGCTGTTCCAACTTCCAAAACATTC